TGGCCCTTAAGAGCACCCACACTCACATGCACATACCTATACATAGACATACACGTATATACACACAATTTTTTAATTAATTTTATTATAAAAAATTGGAAAAATATCATACACCAAAATTAACCAGACCCACAGTTTATATCTCTCAATGAAGCTGTGTAGAGTTAGAATCTCTCCTCCCGTCACACTTTCACACTATTTATCTATTTACTTATTTATTTATTCTTTTCTCATACAATACATCCCCACAGCAGTTTCATTTCCCTTCCTCCCTCCACTTCCTCACCTCCTCTCTCCCCCAGATCCACTCCTCCTCTGTTTCCCCTCAGAAAAGATCAGGCCTCCCAGGGATATCACCTGAACACAGTATAAGATACGCTGAGACTGGGCACAAACTCCCATATCATGGCTGGACAAGGGAACTTAGGAGGAGGAAAAGGGTCCCAAGAGCAGACAAAAGAGTCAGCGACACCTCTGCTTCCACTGTTAGGAGTTCCACAAAGACACCAAGCCAACAACCGTGACATATATGCAGGGGACCCAGTGTAGTGCCTGTCAGGGGCTGAAGAGATGGTTCCGAGACTGAGAGCCCATACTGCTTGTGCAGAGGCTCTGAGTCCAGCACTCCTGTTGGGAAGCTTAACAATCTCCTGTCACTCCCAGCTCCATGGGGGATCCAATGCCTCTGACTTCCTTCAGTACCTGTATTCATGTGCACATACCAGTACAGAGATATGAACACATAATTTAAAAAGTCTTAAAATACATTTAAGAATTAAAGAAAAAAAAAACACCAAGATATTTCAAACAGTGCTCATTTTAGATGCAAAAGAGGCCAGCAGTCACCCTGACAGCAGCCAAAAGTCTTTCTGGTGGCCCCTGCCTGTGTCAGGGTCATATGTGGAAAGGTCTTTGGGAAACCTTGGGGTACCAGGACACTTGGGGAGGGATGTCTCCTTCCACTTGCAGATAAAAGTGCTTAGGACCTTGCTGGCCTGGTGGCTTGAAGGCTGAGAGGCTTTGCAGAACTCTACTGCTGTGGTTTGGGTGTGGCCTGGATGGCCTTCCCAATGGTTTATTATAATTGGTCTTGGCCTCCATGGTGCTGATGAAAGATGATGGGAGGTTGTAGGAGGGCCTTGGGCTACTGAAAGGTATTATGGTACCCTAGTCTGTCTATCTGTCTGTCTGTCTATCTGTTTCTTTCTCTCTCTCTCTCTCTCTCTCTCTCTCTCTCTCTCTCTCTCTCTCTCTCTCTCTCCTCTCTTCCTCCCTTCCTCCCTACACCTCCCTTTTTTCCCAACCTCTGCTTGGTGATGCAAGGCTGCATTAGCTGGGCCTTTCATGCCTGTGACAAATGCCCAAGACAAAGAACTTAAGGTTCATGATGAAAGAGGTTTCAGTCCATGGTCAGCTGCTCTATTGTTTCTAAGCCATGGTAGAGCAGACCACCATGGTATGGTAGAGGCTGTGGCGAGTTCCTTACCTCCTGGCAGACAGAAAGTATAGAGAAGTAACAAGATGGGTCCAAACACAAGGTCTAGTTCCTAAGAACACATCCCAGGGGCTCTTCAAACAGGCCCCACCCTCACAGTGCCATCACCTACCAAGAGTCTATTTGGATTTTGAATCTGTCAATGGATTAAGCAATTGATTAGGCCAGAGCCCTCATGGTCTAACCATCTCCATAAACAGGTATGCTTTACTAATCTATTTAGCATCTCTCAATTCAGTGAAGTTGACAGTCAACAGTAGACATCACAAAGCTCTTCCAGACATGCACACCTCCACTACCATGTGAGTACAGCCAGAAGGACCTTTTCCAGTGCCATGCTATTGAGCCTCCAAACCCGTGAGCTAAGTGAACTTGTCTTCTTTATAAGCTAGTTAGCTCTAGACATCTCACTATAGACACATAAAGCTGACTAATATGTATTAGAACTTCTTGTATTCTTTGTAGCTACTCTGGAAAGCCTGGCAGCACTCCGCTCTTCTAGGTAAACTCTTCCCAGATGTCCCCACCAAAACTTCATTTGCAGAAGGGGAATTAATCCTCAACCCTAAAGATGGCTTCCTATATCTCTAATGCCCTGAGGCTGGAAGCTTGGCTCTTGTTGAGCTGGGTGGATATTCTGGACAATGTACAGGAAGGTAGATTTGGAACAAAAATTGCAGCCGTCGATTTGACTTTCCTGCCAAGAATGGAAGCCCATATTTCTGGCTCTGCCAGAAGTGACTTCCCAGAAAAGCTATGCTGTTTTCCTCCCCTCAAGAAGGAATCCTGTAAGGAGTAAGCCTGACTCAATCCATTGAATGACCATAACCAGTTGGAATGGCCAAGTCCCGAAAATTACCATATCCTGTCAGACAACTCCAGTATATCTCCCATCACTATAATCTCTTCACTTCCCTAAAGGGTCTTTGGTTTTTCTCAGAGTCATACCAGAGCTGTTTGGAGCAGTTTCCCTATAGTCTATCTCTCATCATTCTAGAAGATTCTAAAATCCGAGTGGGATGATGAAGGAGGAGAAGGACAAAGCAGATAATAGAATTTCTGCTCCTTCCCATTTCTTACCCTCTAGTCTGTTTCTAGATGCTTCAACGATCACAACACTTCTCCTTAGCTGTCAGGGAACCACGGTGCTCCTCACCACCCTCCCATCGAGGAGGCCGAAGTCTCAGGTCAGGAAGCCCTGGAGTAGTTAGTACTCTGTAAATCTACAGAATAAAGCAAGTAGGCAAAATGTGAAATTTCTACCCCCTCAAAAATGCTTTAACAGCTACCCTGGAAACATCCTTTGGGGAGTATGTCATTCATTAGGAATCCCATCTTGGACCAAGCCATAAAAAGGCTTACCTTAGCTTCCACGCCAAATCCTTAATCAAGTAGCAGTGTATAGCCGGAGCCTGCCAAGGCTTGCTGGAGGGAAGCCACCACAATGTCTCCCCACAGGGCTGTGAGAAGATGGAATCCACTGTATTCCATACAACATGAATGAATAAGGGAGTGAAGAACGTTACTCAGAGAATCTGCTACAAATACCTCAGATGATAAAAAGGCTGGGTTTTTTTTAATATTAGTATTTTATTGCAGAGGGGATCCTTGCCAACTGGCGGGGCTTGCTGCCTGCATGAGCAAATGTCATTCTAACCTCAGCTGCCGCTTGCTTAGTGCAGGCACATGCTCTCTAAACCAATCACAGACCAGTCACAAAGGGTGTTAAGCAGACAATGTTTATATGATGGAAAGGCCAGCAAAATGCCTATGATATGAAACAGTGAAAATAATCAAGAAAAATGGTACTTTCTGTGAAAACATCAGCTCAAACTCAACATGGTTATAAAACCCAAACTAGATTTCAAAGTAGAAACTTTGTTTGTTTTTTTTTTCTAAATAGAGAAGACAAATTGTTGCATAAGATCTTCCATAGTTTAATTTTTTTCCTAATAGTTCCATATTTATGAGAAATGATCTAAATGGTTTTAGCTCTTTTCTAGATAATTGAACCCTCTCAATAGGGATCTTGGAATGTTGGCAGGGGAGCCTAGCTGGGTATTTGGAGGGCCACTTTTCTAAATTCTGAACTTCTGAGACATAACCGCTAGGGGCCTGAGATGATTTGACCAAGAATGACTCCCATTGGCTAATACATGTAAATGCTTTGTTCCTGGCTGGTGGAATTATTTTGGAAGGATTAGGAAGTATGGACTCGTTGGAGGAGGTGTGTCACTGGGAGTGGGCTTTGAGGTTTCAAACACCCACTCTCTTCCCAGTTAGCTCTCTTATCCCTTTCTGCTAAGTAGTTGTCCCAACATGTTAAGTTCTCAGCTACTGCTCCAGCACCATGCCGGCCTTCTTGCTGTCCTGTTTCCTACCGTGATGGCCATGGACTAACCCTCTGAAACTGCAAGCACACCCCCAATAAAATCTTTCTTCTATAAGTTGCTTTGGTCATGATGTCTCTTCACAGCAATAGTAAATTAACTAAGACAAGACCCATAAGGATCATGAAATGTTTTTAGATTAATAGATACAAAAGCTAAAAGAGACCAGAATTCAACTATATAGTCATCCATCCACCAACAACCATTTATTTGGATTCCATCCATCTCTCCACCCTCCCATGTACCAACCATTTGTCTATCCATCTCTTCACATAACATTTGTCTACCCACAATGAGATCAGTCACAGAGCTAGTCAGAACCAATGGGAGCACTTGCCTAACACTAAAGGGTATGCTGGCCCCACCCCATCATGTCTCTATACATTCACCCATCCATTTATTCACCACCTACCCACCCATTGACCATCCATCTACCATCCACCTATACACCCATATTTATATCTTCTTTCCATCCATCCACTTACCATCCATTTCAAAACAATTGTTCACTTATCCATCATTAGGAGAGGGTGTTGAGGAAGGGATGTCTTTAAACTTGTCTTAAAAAAATATGTGCTACAGGAACTTAAATGTGACTTTCTTCAGGAAATAGAGCCTTCATGAAAAAGGGGAGCCTCAAGGGATTAGGCCAGCGATTGCACAACCATCATGATTACCCAGCATGTGATTCATATGTTGAACATTCAATGAAGCTGCCTTAAAGCCAAAGCTGAAAAAGGCTTCATGATTTGTGAGCTGCCTGAGCATCAAAGAGAGTGACTAAGTGTGGGTTTCCCACGAGGCTGCCATATGATTGTGAGGTCACGAGGCTGAGGCAACCAAGTCCAAAACAAATTACTCTCCCATCTACACCCGCTACTTGAGACGTGGTGGGAAGGCAAAGGATCAGAAATTTGACCACTAAGAAAGGGATCTTTTCAGCTTAATATGCTAATCTTGTATCAGTGTGTGCACACAAACAAACTAACAAACACACACACACACACACACACACACACACACACACACACACAGAGTTTCATGCTAATTAAATAATAATATCCTTGGCCAAAACGTTTTATAAGAAATGATACATAGGGAAAGACATATCTGGCTTAATTTTAATGCATATTTAATATATAGTAAGCAAGGTAGATTATTCATAACATAATTAATCACAACCTTCAGTGTCAATAAGGGTCATAGTCTGAAGGTCACTAATTTATTCAACAAGCATTTATTCAGAGGAGAGCCTTTTTGAGCTGCATGGGTTATCTCACGCTACTTCACCAGGACTGACGTCATATGGAAGATGGCAGTGGTTTCAGTGTCCACCCTGGAGCATAGGAAGAAACGTCAGTTTATGATCCTCTAAAGAGGACAACACCCGGGCATTGTCCCTAAAGTTTCCTGCAGAACTGAGTGCTAATGGCTCAGTGTAGCTAACTTGCCTCCAGTGTGGACACCCTGGTGTGTGTTGCTTGTCAGTGAGGCTCTTCTCTGAGGAACAGGTCAACCCTGAGTTCTTGCCCTCTTACAGTACCATCATCTTCTGTCCTTTAGGACAGAAGGTTCTCAAGGCCTTTACTTTTAACTGGAAGAGGAAGAACATGCATGCGGATGTGTGGGAGGCCCTGGGAGACCTGGTCTAGTGTCACACAGCACTGCCACCCACTTCCTACATGTCAGTTAACCGGGTTTTTTTTCTTATGACAAGGTGTTGCAACACCTGCATCAATGTGTGACACAGGGGAGATATGAAACATTTTGATCAACCACAGGACATGTTTCTTGAAGGGTAACAATCTGCCAACCCCTGCACTGTCTGCTGCTGGTCAGGCAGATGCTCATGCTCTACATGTTTTATGTTTCCAATGTGACAGCTCAGACTGAGGACAGACACAAGCATTGTGGTTATAGACCCTGCCTTTCTCAACACCTGCACTGGGCTGAGCTTTATGCTCCAACCACCTGGGGAACATGGTGGGGTAAGGGCCCCACTGTCCTTCAAGGAGTAGAAAATATAAACCCAGTCCACAGAGGCAGCGTGCAGAGAACAGAGAGATACTGGTGCCTTAGTTGAAGATCTCCCCAAATTACAGGGATCTGTTCACTAAAACATGGTTTGGGATGAATTACTAGCAAAGAATGGCAATGTCTCTTTACATGCCCAGAGACAGCCACAGCAGTCTGCTTTGATGGTATATTGGTCTATAACCAGACAAATTAGGAATTTCCTCTCTTTATCTCAAGCTTCATATTGTATCATAAATTCCCATTCCCTCTCTTCTAAAGATTGGGAACAGATGGTCCCTTTCCAACATACTATATTAAGATTCACTTTTATCAAAACTTTCTTTACATCTTGTGGGTAAGACAGTTTCAGTTCCTTGCCTTGGCTGTCCCTAGAAGATCTCTGATTTAGAGTTACACACATTTGAGGCTAGCCTTGGAGTCCGACAATGTGTAATGCTGCCAGAGCAGCAAGGACCAAACGGTAATGACCTCGGGCCAGGCACGTAGTGTTCCAGCGATGCTTCTGCCTTGAACAGGGTGACTTGGGAAAGCTCAGTGATGTCTGAACTGGAACTTTCTTATCTGAAAGAGAAAGGAGCAGGAGAGCTGGTTTGTGAGCGCCTTTGACTCTAAAACTTCCCATGAATCCTAATTCTATTTTCGTTACTTATTTTTTTTGTTCATGAGTGAGAGCATATGAACCCCCAACAAAGGAAACTATCTGCTTTCAAATTTAGGGTGGTCACTGGTTATTATGTTCTGAACTTTTGGGAAAACTTACCAGTTTACATATCTAGACTCAATGAGAGAGAGAGAGAGAGAGAGAGAGAGAGAGAGAGAGAGAGAGAGAGAGAGAGAGATTAATTCAGAGTTTTCACTTAAAAATTTTGGAAGGGATAGTACAGTCACACAATTCAAAGGTCAAATGTAAAAAAGAAGATGGAAAGGCTTCCTCCCTACACTTCCTCTCCTCCTCTTTTGCCCCCTAAACTCTGACTCCTCTTTACCCATGGTTTCTTATCTATACCTGACCACTTCCATTCTACTCAACTCCAGTTCTGCTAGTGCCGGATACTGGATTCTCAGGGACTAATGCATATTCTAAATGCCAATAATATATATTATGTACATGCTATGTAATTACATAAATATTTCAAGAAACAAAATATGACACTCTACCATATTAATTCAAAACCAGTGTCCCCAGCTGAGAAGTGCATTTCAGAACTTTAGCAAAGTGCACAAACCTTGGCGGCAGCTCTGATCCATCTTCCAACAACCACAGTGGCTGGAGGGCTGGATGTGTCTTGGATTCTAGGACACCGGAAGATTTGGTCTATGTGATCCATAGGCTGGAAGTGGTAAAATGTATTTATTGCTTCTGAGGGGGGGAATCATTTTTCTCATTCTCCATTGAGCAGAAAATGTCAATTGGCTCCAGCTAGTGGGATTCTTACGGGGAGCAGGAAAGAAAAGGGGTGTTGGGACTTCCAGAGTAGGAAGGAGCTGTCCTCTCAGCAGAGATGACTTCCTTCTGAGGCCTTATTGCTACAGCTGCCATTCACCACCCGACTTGGTCACAGCATCACCTGGAGAAGGTATTAGTAGGTAGAGAAGCTGAATCCCCTTGACCCTACGACAACAATTGGGTTACCCCTTCCAGACAGTTGACAGTGGGGACCTCATCCCTGTACAGGTCGGCTTTTGTCCCTTTTAGGCTACCCAGATAAAGACTGTTCTTTGACATCAAAGATGAGTAATGGCCTTCCCAGCTGGTAACCCCTTTGATGGGTGTCCGGGCCAAATAAGCCAAGAAGAATGAGGTTTTGTAAGTGACCTTGGGGGTGTCAATGAGGACTTCAAAAAATATAGATACTTTCATATTCTCTTTCCATTATTTTAAGGACTCCAAAATTTTGTTTCAGGCTGCTTTTATGACTTGGGAAAAAAACAGGAAAATAACGCTAAGATAAACAAAAGGATAATTTGCTGTCTCTAAGTTTGCATATCAGTCCAGGGAGGACAGTCACATTCTTCTCATTCTCCAAGAGAAACTGCTCTTTTTCATGGACAGCATGGAAGCAAGTCAAAAACACATATGGAGAGACTGAGGAAATCTGAGTGCAGGGACATTGTCTGTTCTGTGACTGTATAACAGCTATGAAGTGTAGTGAGAACCTCAGTACCCCAAATACAGCCAAGGCCATCTCAGGCTGGTGGGTTCTCTGTTGATAAAACCCACCAATAAAGGAAGAACAGAGTTTCCAATGGGATGTTCTAAACAAACATACAAACAAAAAAACGGGGAATACATGAAGTGAAGTTGGTATCTGAGAACAATAAAGAAATGAGAGGGGGCGGCGTCTTGGTTATTTTCTTGTCAGTTTAACACAAGCTAGAGTTATCTGGGAAGATGAACCTCAATTGAGAGAATGCCTCCATCGGATTGGCCTATAGACAGGCCTGTGGGGCATTTTCTTGGTTAATGATTGATGTGGGCAGGTCCAGCTCGCTGTGGTGGTGTCATCCCTAGACAAGTGGTCCTGAGACATGTAAGAAAGCAAGTTGAGCAGGCCTTCCTTCATGGCTTCTGCTTCTCTGTCCATCTCCAAGTTCCTACGTTGAGATCCTGTCCCGACTTCCCTCGGGGATAGAATGGGATCTAAGTGTCAGCTGAAATAAATGCTTTCCTCTCCGAGTTGCTTTTGGTGATGGTGTTTATCACAGCCCAGGAACCCTAACTAAGACAGGAGGAAATAATTGGAAATTTCCAAGTGCAGGTGCATATATGTATATTAGGAGGAGAGTGCGAGTATGGGTGTGTGAGCCTGTGCACATCTTCACAGAGGCCAAAGGAGAAAAATAACTTGTGGCGAGAGAGTTCCAGACAAGCTAATTGTTCAACATCACAAATCCCAAACAACGATTTAATTTTACCTAGTTGTTTGGGTACCCACAGTGCACCAATTTGACACTTATCTGGTTTTCTTTTGATGGCTGCTAGAGAAACTGAGGCTCCCCCTTTTGGCCTCACCCTGACCTTCCTCTTCCTCCCCTGGTACCACTTACAAGATGACAAGGCTTTTACTCTAAGCAATTACTCTGTGGGACCTTTTCTCAGTGCGTATTCCCTTTCTCTGTGATTATGAGACAAGGCATACTGAGAAAGAACTGTAAAACTAAGATCCAAAGACTCAAAGGTCTCAGAGGTGCCAGATTCATTTCCTGCCTCCAGGGTCTCCCTTTCCCAGGGAAAAAACCCAGCAATGCTCTTTCCTGGCTCTCATTCCAACCTCATGAAGGTTCTCATTATATTTTCACCATGAAACCTCAGCACACACAGCAATCATTTTGGGATGAAAATGAAAGGAAAACCTCAAGCAACCAGACAGACCAGAGGACAGATTTTAACTGCACTGCCCTGTCCACTCCCACTGAGGGTGCAGGGGAGCCCCACCACCAGGTTCACCCTCACCACCTTCATTCTGTTGCATCATAAGACTTGAGGAAGTCTGTTTCTCTCTGCGAGCTTGCTGGGAAGATCCAGGGTATAGAAACCACCTAGGAAGCCAGCCACATTCTGGTTTCCTGGGATTTCTCTGAGGAAGACACAGAGCATGTGGCATCTTCGATGTGCCCCCTACAGATGTTATCCGGGGGTTGAAGTGAAAAGAGATATCACTCAAGTCACACACCAATAGATGTGAAAGTAACATGTCTTTCTAGCGAGAGTCAACTGCTCATGTGAAGAGATATGGTCCCCAGCTACCCCATGCAGCAACCAGCATTAGATGTGGTCTGGCGCAAGACCCCCTGAAGTCTTCTGGGGAGGTCAAGGCCATTCTTTCCACAACACAGTGTGCCGAGAGTTGAATGACAGCAGCCAGACAGGTATATTCAGTTCAGAATTATCTTGATCAGAGTAACTTGTACCACAGGAGTACTTGTCTCATTTGCATTTAGTCCTTCAAAGGATCAGTTAGTGGAAAAGAAGCAGCTTTCAGGCGCAGGAACTGCAGGGTAACTAATCTGCTGGGCTGGCCAGTCCTGAGGATTGGTAACCTTGCAGGGCGCTGGAGCATGGCCAGGGAGAATTGGGGGTCAGGCATACCTCAGAGCTGCCCCCAGGTGGCCCCAGGACATTGAGCCTGGAGCACACCCAAGTGTAAAAAAAAAAAAAAAAAACAGGGCCAAAGAGCCTACCCTCGGGGACCAGTTCAGGAGGGCCCACCATGAGTTTGGATTTACTGAATATCAAAAGGCTTTGTTTATGGAGTAAAAATTATACACATATGGAGAAAAAAATTTAAAAAGCCAAGCCTGGTGTACTATTATTGAAGAGGTCAGGTTGAATCATGAATTTTTACCCCCATTTGCTATACATGACAAAAATCATATATATTTAAGATACAAAATGTAATATTTTAATATACAAATAGGCATGAAAAGGTTAACAGTCTAGCTAGTTAGCATGCCCATCACCCTGTGTGTTACAATTGCATTCTTTTTAGTGGTGAGAACATTTAAAATGAACTCAGTGGCTGTCAAGCACCTAGTCAGGAAGGGTTACCGCTATGGTTACGGAGTGGTTCTCCAGAAAGCATGCATCCTGCCAAAGGGAAACTTGGTTCCTTTAGCCAGGACTTCCCCATCCCTGGACAATCACCATTGTAAACTCTGCTTCGGAGTTTGGCTTCATTAGAGTCTACACACAAGTGAGATCACATGGTGTTTCTTTTCCTGTGTCCGGCTCAGTTCACTCAGCAGGTTTTCTGGAGTCATCATTGGTGAAAGTGATCCATTCTCCCCATGTGTTCCCATCGCTCTTGTTGAAGATCAATTAACTGTAGACATGTAGATTTCTTTCAGGGCTCTTTTTTCTCTATTGGTTTATATCTATTATTATATACCTGTTGGGGTTAATGTAGCCTTATCCTTTAAAACCAGGAAAAACAAGTCACCAGGCATTTAGTTCCATAAATCCTGACACCTCAGTTTCCACACACTCCTAAGTTACCAGGAAACAGAGATTAGTAAGGTGAGTTCCATAGTGTGATGGTGAGCATTCTGGGTGTTGAATCCAGACATTGGTAAAGGAAGATGGATTTATTTACAATTTGGCCAAATGGGAGAAGGTCTAAGACCCTCTTCTCCAGGCCTGTGCCTCCTGTGGAACTCAAACTGTGGCCATCCCTAATTACTCCATTTTGTGTAACACAGTGGCTTTCAAACTGTGTTTTGTTCTGGATAATTCCACTCCATTTTATTATTTCTTAACTTAAATTTATTGGGGAGGCATGCATATTCCACAACATGTGTGTGGAGGTTGAAGGATAGCACAACTTTGAGAATCACTTCTCTTCTACCATGTGGGACCCAGGGATTGAACTCATGTCTTCAGGCTTGGTGGCAAGCATCTTCATCCAAGGGCGGAGCAATCTTTCTGGTCCTGACTTCATTCTACAAAGCAATGGTTGACTCAATTTTGACTATAAATGCAGAGGCAGAATGACTTTGCAGCTTATTGTGCATCTACAAACTTGTTAAAAATTATTGCTAACCCTCTAGCTTTGCATTCAAAGTCAGCATTTCTAGAACAACCTGGAGTTTGTTAGCATCAATTTCAAATATTAAAGTAACATTCTTTATCCTAGACTTAGCCTAATCAGCAAAGCATAGAAGTATTTTCAATGAGAGGCAGGAAGTGGTCCTTTTAGACTCAAATGCTATCCCCTCTCCTCCTAGGACTTCCTTACCTGTGCTTCAGGCTAAAGGGATGGATAAATCATAGCCCATCCTTAAGCCCTTTCCCAGTGACACTTCCTGTCTGTAGTCAAGTGGATTCTCACGTCTGGGAACAGCTGGCCCCATCTACTTCCTCTCTTGTCTTTTTTCTTGAGTGTGGTTTGAAATAGAGGCTCATTCCTGTCTCCAGGGCAAGATAAGTTTCTGATGGCTGGTAGTAATATACATCTAATTGGCAACATATCGAGTCCATTTGTACTGCTCTGGGGGCCGAATAAATGCCAGGATTAATTTGACTGAAAGGGAATGGAGAAGGTTGTCAGTATCTACAAATGACTTAGTATTGATAAACCATGCGATCCACCAGCACTTTGTCAACTCTAAATTCAACCAATACTTTCAAAGTAGACAAATCCCAAAGCTCTTGCCACCAAAATAAGAGGATAAGAACCTAATAAATGTCATATAAAGTTAGTGAGTGATCTCTCATATTGGTCTGTGTCTGATTTAGGTGCTTATGACATTGATCTCAAAGAACTGGCAGTTCCTATAGCATGTTCTCCACTTCCCTTTAAGAGTCTGTTAGTAATGATGCCTATTATGCATGAATTTATCTGAATCCATTTTGAATCTATTTATAACGTCCCTTGACATCTTAGCATAATTCGATCCGCATGTGTGCAACCCAGTGTAATAAACATGATTTCCTTTCCTTTGTCACTACCATGCTTCCCTCCCACCCTTAGAGGTTCTCTGTCCTTGAACTTGGTGGTCAAACATTTTGTGCCTGACCTGGTGTGTTGGTTGTGTTACTTTTCCTCTGACAAAATGTCCTGCAGAAGCCGCTTAATGGAGGAAGGATATAGCATGGCTTGTGTTCCCAGGGGATTTCAGTCTGTCATGGCAGGGAAGACTTCGAAGGGTGGCCCCTTGGTAGTGGGTGCAAGTGGCAGAGATTCTCATATGGCAGATAGACCAGGAAGCAGACAATGAGAGGACAGAGCCAGGGACAACATACCCTCACTTCCTAAAGGTACCACGACCTATCAAAAGAGTCTAGCATCCTTCCGAATTTGTCTCATAGACATCACATGGCTGTTGTAATCTGGAAAGCTAAGCAGCTGTGATTTCCCCTCATGAGATTTTCACCTATGTGAACTTAGTAACATCCCTTTATGGAGGTAAAAGAGGGCTCACAAGGCAATGGGGTTCTCGCGGCAGCCTATAAGGGGTTCACAAGGCGCCAAGGTAGTGTATTAGTGGCACACATGTACTGGCTGTACAAGGCCCCGCCCCTCCCTAAGGATACATAAATGGTCAATGCTTGCTGGTAGGGGGGACTTCTCTGGTATTTAGCAGCCTGCAAGTTGTCCATGCTCCTTTTAGGAATCCTTCAGCCGAGCTACCATCAGCATCCCCAGGGAAACTCATCGCTCACCAAACGAGAGCCGCATGCACTAGATTCTTTGGTCTGTTGTTGGTGCCCAATCTGGAGGCATTTGTCCATGTCTTCCAAGGAAAAAAAAAATAACACATCCTAAACTCATAAATTAAGGCGGTAGTGAAGTTGCACAGTGCACCACGGACGAGCACCGCCGGAAGCACCTTGGATTCATTATGCATTTGATTCTGAATTACTATTTGATCATTGGCATTCAGACACCTGCTAGTGAGGCCAATTTTTTTTTCAGACACCCACACTCAGCTCTATGACTCCATATGGGATGACAACCTGGACATTAAGAAGCTGGGCTCTAGACCAGCTCTGGCCTCTAGAACTTACTGTAGTGGTGAAAATGCCCCCTTTCTGTACTTCCCAGCATGAAAGGCACTGTCCTTATGTGAGGGATGACCCAAATCTTTTCTTTTACTTAATTTAAACAAATTAATTAAATAAATTAATTTAAATTAAACTAAATTAGTTTTATGCTGCTAATGACTGCTACGGTGGGAACAACTAATCCAAACTCTTTCCTACTCCATAGTGGTCCCGTTGGTCCTATGTTCTGGAAGGTACAAGATCCAACAAGAGAACTGACTGTCAAGTTCAGCTGCTCAGTTTCCAGCAGCACAGCTCACTTTTGTATGTTGTATTAAGACTCCAGGGTTTGGGGTACACAGAAATCCCCATACTCAAAAGTTGACTTCCTTTAGGCTTCAGTCACTAACGGTCAAACAGTATCCAAAATTCTCACTGGTAGATTCCGGAAATACAATGTTTGTCCTAACTGGTGCGCCCCTAAGAAGATCTCCACTGTCTGTGTGCCGTGGTGACGTCTCACACGCTCTTGGTCCAGCTCACCCTGCAGGTGATCTGTCCTTTTGGCCCTTAGGTTGGTTATCTTTTTTGTTGCTCTCATGAAATACCTGACAAAGCAGGTCCAGGGAGCAATGATTTGGAGGCAGAGTTCCAGAAGTTTAGTCCATTGTGACAAGGAAAGCATGGAAATAAAAGCATGCCGTGGAAGCTCCTTAACATTTAGAAAGTAGTGAATGGGACCTAGGAACATGTGGACTATGATCCTGAAAGGCCCTACCCCAAGAGGCCTTATCCCGAAGCTTCAACAGTGCCACCAGCTGGTAGCCAAATACTCAAAATGTGTGAGAGAGCATTTGTATGTGCCTCTGCGCGCGCGTGTGTGTGTGTGTGTGTGTGTGTGTGTGTGTGTGTGTGTGTGCACTCATGAGTGCACATTGGCGGTGAGGGGTGGGGGTGTATTTCACACGCAAATCATAACCACCATCACATTCCCTGAGCCCACCACCTGCCACTATCAGATGGTTTTCAAATATTACATCACAGCATCAGCAGACTTATCTTCAGGGACCCCACTTAACATCAGAGACACCCCCCCACACACACACTTACTTTTCTTAATAGTTTCCTTCAAACTGTGTGATGGTGATGCCAGCAACTCGGGATGCCAAAAGAAACCATAAAATGCTTCCTCTGGAAATTCCTCACCTCACCAGGAAGCATCCGGTGCCGAGTTTGCTAACGTCCACAGTACAAACTGACATGGGGAGGGCCAAGTTCACGTGGTTTCTAATATAGCATGTTGCTTTGATTGACTACTTTATCAGTACGGGTAAACTTTAGCGTAAGTATATGTGTACAGGAAATGCACCATTTTCACACAACACAGTTCCATCTGTGGCTTTAGGCATCTTGGGTTGGGGGGCGTCTCAGATTATACCCCCTGCAGATAAATAACTCTCAGTTATGCATTAATATAACAGACCTGTCCCAACGACTACAGCCCCAGAGGCCTGGTGTGCGTGCAAGGTGCTGGCCTAGCCAAGTGACTTCCCAGTTGTGGAGTCTGGCGGCTGTGGACCCTGGACCGGGTGCCTACACTGGCCTGTTCCTT